TTATTATTATTATTAGACTGTAACACAGATTGTCGATGTATCATATCTACGCAAAGGTTCAAAAACAACATTTAAAAGTCAATTCGAGATAACTGCCTTCAATCAATAGACACAGCATTTGTTTTAGTATTGCTTGCGCAGTCCCTGGCCTATTGAGTGTCTAGATTATAGTTTTATTCACAATAGTAACTTAACCTGCAGCTAAAAAAAAACAACCCAACTAAACAACCCAAACTCCATCCTGCACCCCTCTCCAAAAACAAAAAAAAGTAAAAACATTGAGTTTTAAGTCCAATAAGGTCCTATACCCACTGATACATGGATGATCAAGACGAGGTATTTAGGCCTACTAATTAAGCATGGTCGCTGTTCCTGGCCCTCTGCTATTATGTTATGTTAGGCTATATTATTAAATTTTAAGGATGAACCCCCCCCCCCCAACAACAGGGAACAACAACAACAAACACACAAACAAACAAGCAAACAATGAAACAAACTAACTAACGAAGAAGCAAACAAAAGCTTTTGTAGAGAAGAATAGCTGGAATATGTTCATTGTACAATATAATACGCCAACAGCAGTAATGATCATGAAACTGATACTTCATGGATGATCAAGACGAAAGTATTTAGGCCTACTAAACATATACGCTGTAGGCCCTAAGCTATTTTGCTATGATATGCTATTATTAAAGAGGATCATCCCCCCAAAACAATTACAACAATAACAAAAAACAAACAAACAAACCAACAAAGAAGCAAACAAAACTTCTGACAGTAGAGAAGAATAGCTGAAATGAAGCTAGAATAGATTAAAGGATTGATCCTTAGCAAACGAGGGGATATTTTTCTGTGTAATATGTTATAAATTGCATCAAAATATATGAAAGAAATCATAGGTTTTTCGGCAATTAATTACATAACACTATTACACACGCATGTCTCATACAAAATTGAGCAAAACTCATCTTTCGCACAAGCCAGTGCAGTCGGTCATCAATCAACTGAAAAAAAGCTAACTTAGTCCAAACTGGCATACGTTATGAAGAATGGCACCGAGATGGGAAAAGAAAGGACAAATCTGGCAAAGTACAGAGAGCTAAAGGGATTGGAATAAAATATAACATCTCTTGCAGCATTTGAAGATAGATATTGTCCTTCTAAATGTTGTACAGGACCAAACTACAACACTCTGAGTATTCTACGAGCCGACAAATCGGTAAATAGCCTTTTTCTGTGGGGCAAACCATTTTGAATTTCCGCGGTTGATTCAGGTCACGACCGTCGTCAAGATAAACAAAACCAATTCACTGAAAAAATGGAACAAATCTTGGCAATTATCAGCCCTTTTAGTCATCATGTTAAAGCCAGATATTGATTTTGACATAATGCTGCTAATCTTTTAGTTTTTTCATGTAAATTCAGTAAGTTAAAACATGAATACAAGCTACGCAAAAGATCAAGTAGCCGCCCTTGGGTCTTCTCACACTTTCATGCCAAGACTTGCCTTGTTCCCCCCTCTGCAATACTATTGCTCGATCAAGTGTTACCTGTGGATTATTGATTTTCTGTAGAGCGTTGAGGTTGAAAAGATTTAGCTCGTGTGGAATCTAAGGAAGACTTGTAAAAGTCATGGCGGCGCTGTATGTATAATGGCTGCAGGATGATCTGAAACGTGATTTCAAGGTAAACGATTTCAAGTAATGATGGGCTTATCTCAGATTCTGTTATTGAAGGTAGGGCCTATCGGAAAAGAGGATCGTGACTGTTTAAGGCAGAGAAACTGATAAAGAATGGCTGTGCTCTGCTGGTTGGCTATGCTGACAGTCTTTTACTGCCAACTTTCATGATGTAAACATGGCACGAATTGGTTGGTGTGTTAACTTGTTTTCAATCTTTATTTTTGTTATATAGATCAGTTGTTCAGTTAAAATCAATCTTCAGGACCTATTTATGTATTCCAGTAGATCTATGTAGTACAAGGCTCTGCTGTAGATCTAGATTCTAGATCTAGTTTTATGAAATGAATTTTCATCAGAGGTGTCAACCAAGGAATACATGAAATATAAATCAAATTTGTATGGAAGCTTGAGCCTGAAAGAAAAGGATTTAGATTATAATTAATGATAAATGTTGATCTATTTATGTTAATTGTAGTTGATCAGTAATGATCATGATACTGATACTTTTCACTTCTTGTTTTGTTTCCAGTTATACAAGTATCCTCACAATGGCTCGCTATATTTCAAGTGAAAGTGATGACTATTATCAACCTCCACCCCGTCAAAGACACCATGCTCAGACCAATGATGACAGAGTCTACCGCCTTACTTCCAATTTACAAGTAAGAATATATTTTCGAAACTGATTCTAATATGATGGTGATATTTTTGTAATCGTCTTTTAATAAATGAAGCTATCTTTTTAAATTTATGGTTTGCACCAGTACTTCACACTTAAGTCACACAGTCAGCAGTACAAAATATCCCCTGGCCACCCAGCCAGGAGAGCGACTGCTACGGACTTCTCGGGCCTGGCACAGAACTGCGCCAGGTGACCAGAATGGAAAATGTTCACCGGCACATTATTGCGCCAAGAGACTGCAAATTAAGTGTTAACCGAAAATGAAATCACTTTGACAGTGTAATAGGTTTGGGCAATAATAGAATCGTAGGCCTACATAACAAGATGGTTCACTCCTCTAGCTTTTTGAGCCAATTAAAAAAGTGTAGTGTCCTCGAAATTCGGTGGCGCCCTCTTCGCAAATGCGCGGACTTTGCAAACAAAGTTACCCTATTTGTGGGAAAAAAGTCAAAGTGAAACTAACAAGTTTTTGAATCAATTAGAATTCAAATTGCGGAAGAACGCTTTTTTAAAATGGTTATGCTGACAAAAAACCTTTTCTTCGTTTAATTTGATTGAAGAATGAGAGGCGAGCGGTCATAAAAAAAAAGTTTAAAGCCTAAAACTCCACACTGAACAAAACCAAACTGCTAATGAACAGCAGTCGATCTGTGTACGCAAGGGGGTGCTATTCCTATTCTTCTTCTGGAGAAACAAAAGAGAACTTCAAAACAAAGACTGCAGTGCCATATGAAGCAATGAGCGGACTTCCGCTGACACTTTTTTGGCTAAGTGGACCATCTTGTTATGTACTATATCTTTAGTTTGGGTGAGGGTAGGATATTGGGGAAAAATCGGATAAAGGCTGGTGTGATCTTGAGTATCGATGATGGGCTATATTTGTATCACACAATGCACATCTTTTACATGTTTCTTTATTTTCAAGATCAGTCACACAAAAGTGTTTAAAACATCCAACGTAGTTGCTTTCCACATGGTGGCACTTTTCATGCCTCCCCTGGCTCAGACCTCCACCCACTTCTTTTTTTTACATCTTTTTTGGCCTTCTCTTCTGTCTACGTTATATTATGATACAGTTATATGTCCTTAATATAAATCTTGTTTAGCGTGGGTTATATATGAAAATTTTTAAAATGTTTATCACAAGGTGTCGTTAGTGTGTAATTCAGTCTCAGGATGTTTAATTGTTATCTTTTTCTAGATTTCTACGCTGTAGCAGCAAACTTTTTCTTGGAGTTTTAAATTAAAAATTGACCTCTTGAATTTCTTTTCATGATGATCAGGCTGTGGTTGATAAGTGCCTTTCACAACTTCATGTCAGTTCCATCTGGCTAGATGTTGGTGGTTTTGGTATACTGAGAATGCTTCCATAATAAAAAATATACTCAAGGGCTTTTTGACAGACTCTGACGGATGCAACAATGCAGCATCAGTGACATGGACTACTTCAACTTGGCTTCTGCCATATGAAAAAATGATTGATAATGTTCGTTTTGTTTAATTTTAGCCGCTCAACCATTCAAAGTCCAGGGTTGTTTGAGCTTATTGAGTTTCAATTGAAGTATGGGAAGCAGTGCCAAAATGTATTGGAATAAAAGTCTCGAGTAATTGGTGTAATGACTTACATGCATATCTATTTTAGGCGTGTCATGACTACAGAGTAGAAAGCTCATAAAAGCTTTATCTTCTTTCGTTTGGATTGTTTTCACTGTCAAGAGTTTGTGATCAACGTAAAAATGGTCCCTCTTTCCTCAAAAGAGTTGTGCTGAAAGTGGAATTTTTATTACAAGAAAAATAATCCTTTCAGGGTTGCTGCAGACTTTAGTTTGTAAGCTGAAGATTTTCTCATAGTCTAAATGAGGTCTCTTTGTCTATCAGGACAAAAAGCAATACGATGCAACATTTCAATGTGCTTTCTATCTTGTGTGCTATCAAAGCGACTATAGTCTATAACAAGGTGATAAATAGCTGTCAAGGGCTTCCCATTTAAGAGGAGACAGACATACCCTACTATTGTTAAATGTGTTCAAAGATTGATTTTTAAAAAATAATGAAGACTCTCAACCTATATTGCTAGCAACCGTGCCAAATGTGGTCTTGCCACAGGTTTTGTTTTGTGTTTTCTTTTTTGGGGGGTAAGTGTTTTACGGCGCTTACAACTGCATTAGGTCATATGAGTGCTCGGGACACATTAATTTTTCTCAGTTGGTAGGATTTTAAAAAATATTTTGCCCCGGTGGCGGCCGAAGCCTACTCTTATTGATTTTAGACCACCAAGGGATCTTTAACGTGCGCAACTTGCACACGAGTCCTCCGAGATTTTTTGCCCTTGTCCGAGAAGGCTAAGTGTAGATCTTTCCTACCAGAAGATCAGGGGGTATGGCTGAAAGACAACAGTAAGAAGGAGCCAAGGAGTAGCAATAGAAAGGCTGCAGAGTCAGGAGCCCAGAGGAGGGGAAAAGGAGGTGAGGGGGTGGGGGCAGAAACTGGAGACGAAAGCAGACGACAGAACATTGCTAGAGATCAGAAAAGGAGGTGAAAGGAGACCATTTTAGAGAAGAACATTTTTCGGTCACTTCCTGGATTCGAACCGGGGACTTTTGAATGAGAGGCCAACACCTTTACCTCTAGGCCACGTGAGCCCCCTCCACAGGTTTTATTATGTACTTTATATCAGCTTGTGATAATGGAAGCCCTCACGTTTTGAAACCATATGTGTATGATATTCTCTAGTTGTTGTGAAATCTATGTAGATATCCAAGTAGTGATGGGAATGTAGCTTTCAGCAGATTCTTTTAATGCTTTTAAGGATACCTAAGATGCTCAGGGGGATTATAATTAAGCAGATAATGTAAAAGTCCTTCATATTTTTTCGTCTTGGCTTAAAAAAGGGTCAAGCATCTCAATTGGTGGTAGAATATTATGCTATTCTCGTTCTAAATATGTGTTACAACTGGCTGCGATGGAATCGGACGATTGTCAATTTTTTAGCATATTGAGTTATTGGTATAATCTTATAGCTTGTTAATTTGTCTTGCATTTGAAAAAAAAATGAAAACACTCATGTTTCTTGAAAAGAAGTCAAGATTTTTGCTATTGAAGGAGCTAGGGGTCACCTGGTGTCAGAGGTAAAACTAGCGAGGATATTGCTGTCAAAGTTTAATGACTTACAAAGCTGCAGTGACTTTGGAAACTGCAAATTTACATTGTTTGTGCCTTTGACCAACTTTTTTCAGAAAAATCAATTCTAGAATATTTTTTTGTAATGGACATAAAATGTGTTCAGCCCAAAACGAAAAATTCTATAAAAATTGCCTAAAGGGCAGAAAAATGTCTGTTTCTTCGATTTCATTATTTTCACGATAAGTACCTGATTTGACTACAATGTCACACATATGGGTTTAACTATGTTCCATTTGTCAAAGAGGGGCATCTCCGATTTTAACATTAAATCTCCTATAGGATGAATTGTTGGTGGAAAGGGACTCAGGCAAGAGCTACTCTAAGCTTTCTTTTTTTCGCTAAGCTACTTAGGTTGCTTTTCAATTCATGAAATTGAGCTTGAATAGTTTTTTTTCTTAGGTTTTCTACCCCTTATCTTTGGTATGGTAAGAACTTGCATCTTATCAATTTGGATAAGCAGGAAAAAGATCAAGCCACGTGCAAATTAAGAAAGGGAAACTCACACTAGTTATTGACAGTTTGAAGTGAGCAGGCATGACTGCCTGAGGAAATTTGAAGTTATTTCTTATTCAAAGTTGAAGACCATCTGTTTGTGTTGAATAATGATCAGCATTTTAAGAAGTATTATATTCAGCCTGAGAGAAGAATGACCACATCCTCAAGTCATGTGACATGATGTGGGAAATGTCTGTTATGATGGTAGCCAGGGAACCTTTGTTTGGCATAAACTCTTGAGAGGGGGCTCTTGTGGTCTAGAGGTGTTTGCCTCTCATTCAATAGGTCCCGGGTTTGAAACCTGACAGCGACGTAAAAGTTTCTTCTCTAAAATTTTCTCCTTTCAACTCCTTTCCTGCTCTGAATATCGTCTACTTTCATCTCCACTTTCTCCCCACCCCCCCTTTGCCCCCTCCTCTGTGCTCCTGACTCTTTCTGCTGCCTTTTTACTGCTTCTTCTTGGTTCCGTATTTTCAACAAGCCCACTTAGTTTCTGGGAATTACATTTCAGAGATGTTTTGCCAAATTCAGAACATGTTTTGTCATTTCAACAATTGCTAACATAGACACAAAAGGTGTCAAGTAAATGAAAGCTCATTTGGCTAGACAGGGATCTTTTTTCCACAAAAAAGTCAAGTTTAATTTCAAGTAAATTCAAAGTGTGTTGTAAGAAGACTGTCCTTTTTGTTCCTTTAGGAAGAACAAGCATTCTGGTATTGAAAATTTCCAGGCATTTAATATAAGAGTAAAGCCCTTATTGAAAAGTTTATGAGTTAAATATTTTTCTCCTTTTTTTCTCAACTTTATATGTACAATGAAGAAAAATTGTTTTGAAAACAACTTTATGCTTTGTTCAGCGAGCACATATATATGCTGTTTTTACTACATTTAAAGAAAATTTTAGCAGAATTTCTGCTTTAGAATCCTGTAACTCACAGAACTTTTGCCATCTATTAGCTTAAAATAAGTCTAAATAATTGTTCTTTTGAACTACAGTACAGAACATTAATGGAATGAAAAAAAGTGCTCAGAAATTTTTTGTTGGCAAATTTTGCAGTGAAATAATTAACTGCATGATCTAGATTTTTTAAAGAAGTTATGAATGACAAAGAAAGTAATGCCTGATTATGAATGTACTCCTTGATTTGCAAGTCAATGTCAAATCTTAGGAGAATGTTTGCAGCACAGTAATATGTCTTTATTTGATTTGATTGATAGCTATTTTGTCATTGGGACAGACAAGTAGAAGCTAATGGGGCAGAAAGTAAACATGTGATACCGACCCTAGTATTGATTATTTGGTTTTCTTTATGGGAGGAAGGACACGGATCACCGATCTCTTTGTAAGCACACGCTTGATATGTTGAGGAAAAGGTTGGGGTAAAAAATGAAAGGAATCAGCATGAAAAGAACTGCGATCACAGGATAAAAGACTTGCTCATGACAATTTTGTCAGGCAAGTCAAGGTAAATGAGGGAAACATACACTTCTTTTATGTTCCTATTTATATTTTTTAACACTATACTTTTCAGGCTGACAGCATTTAGATATGATCATGTACGGTTCTGATATCAGTTGAAGTTTCTCCTTCGTTCTGGCAGCATTAGTGAGTGGGTTTTAAAGGATAATAAATGAACTCGTTTTGCACACTTTTCTATTTTTATTATCCTTTTATAATATAATTTCCAGCAGTGTTTAGAATGATTATTTCTCGACACGAAAGTTCTCACAAATTTGCAGTCCTTTAATTCTGTTTTCTTAGAGTTTTACACCAGCTTGGTAAGTTTCTTGGTGTCTGGTTTCTTCTAAGTGAGAGTATTTGAACGGTTCCGGTATTATTATTTTTTTTACTTCACTTTTGGCAGGACACCACAAGGAACTTGAGATCCTTGGATCGTATGCTAGATGACTACTCAGCAGTAGGATCAGAACAGAAGTCTTCCATTGACAGGGTATATTGTTTGTGTCTTTCATTCATTGATAGCTGTATTTGTTGTTTTTGTTTGAAAGTTTTGCTAAGGTTTGAAGCTGCTTTATTTAATGAAAAAAAATAAATGAGATAATTACAATTGCTTATAAGAGTTAATGTTGGAAAGAGAAAAGGTGTATCCTGCAGATGAAAAAAGGAAAATCTTTGTTATCTTTAATGCACAGCAAGAAAATTTGGATAACTATATTATACATTTTTTTTGGGTGTGTTTTCCTTGTAAGTTTAAGTTTTAAAAACCTGTCATTTTTTAATGTAACAAGGGGGTGCACCATTGGCTCGTATTATATCATGTTGGATTTTGGAGTGGGTGGCCCTGATTTGGATTTCCGACTTATGTTTTGAAACGAAGTTATTTTGTGGAGTTTTTAAGGCTCTCAACTCATTTAGTGCAGTCTTATCCATTAACTTCAGGTCCTGCCTCTTAAATAAGCTTACAGTATTGAAAGGAACATTAAATCTATAAAATACAATATAATACAATGTTACAAGTTAAATTTAAATATGTTTTATTATCAATAATGTCACATATTGTGAATGCATTTTACTATCGATGTTGCGACAGATCCGAGGTGAGCTGGACAGGACACATGAAGACATTAGAGATGAACGTGCCAGAGGACATGCCATAGACAGGGATTATGGGGTATGTTAACAAATTCTTTTCTGTTTTCACTCTGGTTTATTGTATTCTTTTATATTTTTAGCCTATTTTTGCCAAACTTTTGTTTTACAACTTTTTTTTCTTTAAAAAACTGAGCTCAATGTTTGTATGTCTTTGGTTGATTGCCCTTTAAGAAAAGGAAGTTATTTTGACATCAAAATTGAAAGTGTTATATATGGCCAGAATTTTATACAAAACTTAAAAAGAGTTGAGAATCTTATCGTTACTGATGGCTAAATTTTCATTAGAATATTTCTTTTTAATGAAGTTATTTTGGGAGGTGATTTCGGAAGAAAAAAAAATTACGAAAAATGTTAAACAAAGCAAGATTATGAAAGTTGACTGGAAATTTAGAATGAAAATAAACATTATGTTTCCTCAGTTGATATTGTGCTGGACTGTGATGCAATTTGAATCCCTAATGGGGTATTCTTGAATTACGATTGTTTGGGCAGTTAAAGCTTGCCATCCATTTGACAAAGTTGTAACGGATATGGATGTTTAAACCGTCTCTTTAATAACGTTACAGTGTTTATATGGGCCTTATTCCAATACAATGCTACACATTTCTAAGATCTGTATCATGTTCTCCTCCAGAGTGATTCAGAAAATTATGGGTCGTCACCTAGAGGTCGTCGTCGGAAGCGTTCTGCTGTGCGCTTCGCAGATGATATGAACAAAGAGCTGCATGGTATCCATCAGACAGTGAGAGATATTTCCTCGGAGCAGATCAAGCTAGAGGAGAGTTTCAATAAGGAAATGGACCGAAGAGACAGGTGATTGCGGGAATTCTGTCTGTCTGTCTGTCTGTCTGTCTGTCTGTCTGTCTGTCTGTCTGTCTGTCTCTCTCTGTCTCTCTCTCTCTCTCTCTCTCTCTCTCTCTCTCTCTCTCTCTCTCTCTCTCTCCCTGTAGCTTCACCACCTCCCCCCTTGTTTTATAAATAATATTTGGTCCGTCTCACCAGTTTGATTGCTAGAAGACATTTCAGTATCCTACTGAACATTTCAAAGTGCAATTACTTTTACAGACACCCACACCAATGTTAAGTTGATAACTATACTATTTGAACTCTGTTGTGAGGATCATTAGTAGTGAATACTGTTCTGTTTGAGTTTCTTTCATAGAAATAAAAACATATTGCTTGTAAACAAGAGTTACTGGGAATTGCATCTGCGGCAACTGGTAACTCGTTTCGCTCCTTTTTTTCAGACACGAAACAGAAACAAGACGATCACTCAGGCAAATCGGGGAAAATTTGAAGTCCAGTTCAGACCCGGTAAGTAAACTTACTGCTATCTGAAAATATTTTGTCGTGTTGTAAGTTTAGAGGTGAAGTCTATGGTTTTCCCTGCCTGTTTTCTGCATTAGCACAAAATGATAAACTTACTCAGTCGTCTTTCTATAAATGATGTTCTGCTTTCAAAAACACTTTTATGTGTGACAGCTGATGCCTTGGAGTATAAAATTACTGTCAATGCAATGAAGCCTAGCAAATTTAGTATAAGATGTGAAATTAAGACACCAGTGTATTTCTAGACTTGAATACTGTTACAATGAGATTTATTTTATTTTAAAGCTGTTTTAGCAAAGGAGTAAATTGTATAACTTGATCAGAAATGATCAGTCATGAGTTTTTATTTGGAGAGTTATGGTTGTCAGTTATTGTTAGTTGATAGAGTTTACAAAAGCATTGTGTGGTTTTCTGAATCATTAAGGACCTACGCAAAAACTGAAGAGGTCCTACAACTGTCACTTTATGGCTTTTGGGTTGAATGCATCTCTCAATCAATAACTTCAGCAGCTGAATTATTCGACTGGCCTGCCGTGGAACTTAGTGGATCATTGTTTCTGCAATAGAAGATTCCTATGTGCATTATAAAATTGGTCTTTTTTATTGTCTGCAATGTCTCTTCTTTTTTATTTTCCACCGTTTTCTATGACTACTGACAACTCATAAAACTCTGTTTCATGATTGTTTGGTGATGGAGCAAGTTTGCTTCCTTTTGTAGATACCAATTTCCAAAAGTGGCAGTCTTGTTATGAGCCCTTGGATTAAGTCTGTTCTAACATCAGCTGTGAAGATCAGGTTAAAGTTGCATGTAGCATCACTTTTTTTCCCCCATGACTTTAGCTTTATGCGCTTAGATAACCCATCTTCTGTCTGTCTGTTTGCCTACCTGCCTGCCTGCATGCCTGCCTGCCTGCCTTGTCTGTCTGTCTGTCTGTCTGTCTGTCTGTCTGTCTGTCTGTCTGTCTCTGTCTCTGTCTCTGTCTGTCTGTCTGTCTGTCTGTCTGTCTGTCTGTCTGTCTGTCTGTCTGTCTGTCTGTCTGTCTGTCTGTCTGTCTCTGTCTGTCTGTCTGTCTGTCTGTCTGTCTGTCTGTCTGTCTGTCTGTCTCTGTCTCTCTCTCTCTCTCTCTCTCTCTCTCTCTCTCTCTCTCTCTCTCTCTCTCTCTCTCTCTCTCTCCTCTCTCTCTCTCTCTTGTGTATTACTCCTATCATAAAATCGCTGTTGAAGGTTGTTATTTCCCATCACCTGTTTTGCAAAAGGCTTGTGGTTTCACCTGTTGAAATAAAAGGCATACATTCTTTCACCAATTGTAGGACATATAAAAAACACAGAGTTGAAATAGTTTTCATTCATGCAGGAGAGAGAGTATGACTTTGATTTTGGATGCTTCTTTAATTAATTTTCCTTTTGTAGAGAAACTAAATATTTTTTTTTTTTCACAAGTGTTTTACGGCACTCGCAACTGCATAAAGTCATATAATCGTTAAACCAAATGTGTAGTAGCATGACAAAATGACTCACACATTGCATTTTGACAATGTGATGGAATGGGGACCAAATTTGAGGTCTGTTCAAGCTTACCAAGCGAGTGGAAAACAGTATCAGTCCAGCTGCTTTGGTTCAAGAATTATAGTCACTAGAAGTAGAAGTTAGGGACTAAGAAAAAATAAGTTTTGAAAAAAAAAATAAAGGTTTTGCCCTTGATCATGAAACAGCTGGGTGCGTTAAGATGCTCATATTGTTGTGTTTCTAATCAAATTATGTACACACGAAAGCATGCATGTAGTGTGTATGTGTGTGTGTGCGTGTGTGTGTGTGCGTTTATGTGTGTGTGTGTGTGTGTGTGTGTGTGTGTGTGTGTGTGTGTGTGTGTGTGTGTGTGTGTGTGTGTGTGTGTGTGCATATGTGTATGTCTATGGTGAGGCACCAAACCAATGTGTCATCATCTGGACAAAAATGATTTATTATATCTTATCTTGTCTTGTCTTGTCTTATCTTAACTTATATCTTGTCTTTTGTCTTTTCTTGTCTTGTTTTTTCTTGTCTTGCCTTAAATCTGATTATTTTGCTTCTATCAGCTTTCAGACCGCGTTGAGCGACGACTCCAGGCCATTCAGACAGAAATCAAGTCTGAGAAGCATCACCTGGACAGAGACAGAATGGATGAACTTTACTCCCTGTCCTCTGACCTTCGCAATGCCATCCAGTCCTCAAGTAGTCAAGCCAATGTTGATGACAAGCTCCGAAGTCAATATTTGCAGTCAGAGTCACTCAGGCACAAGGTGAGAAAGTCTGTTCCCTCCTCCTGGGATCTGTTTTCAGCTAAGTGATCTTCAAGCTTAAGTTTTTAAATGAGTTATGAGGACATTGATGGATTTGGCAGAGGAGCAGTCAAAGATTATGACATAAAAGTTTAGACTTTAAATATGTGTGAAATAATCTTTGTACTCTAGAATGTTTTAACAATCTTTTTAAAGAATGAGATTTGTTTGTATGTAGATGTACATTTGGATCCTTTGAAGTAAAAAATAACTGTTCCTTAAATGTGTGGTGTCTTTGGTGGTACATGTCATTGGAATGCTTCTGTTGGCTTAAAAAAAAAAAATTAATACAATAAAATCCTGACAGTATGATCAAGCAGACGTTGATACGATTAAACTCTTTTCACATGCATCCCTGACAAATTTGTTATGGTTTCTATGATTTTTATACATTATCCCATGGAAAGTACATTCATGTAGAGCTCTGATATTATGTGCAGTCGTTGTTTATGTAGTGTGTGTAAATACTTCTTCTGTTTCTCGTTTAGGTGGAGAGTGATCTTGATACGGTTCGGAGGCGACTAGACCAAACTGAAGGCAGCCGAATAGCATTGCAGAACCAAGTGGAGCAGCTGAGAGCACAGCTGTCCCGTGCTGAGCAGGACAGGCACAGGATAAGGATTGACCTTGATGAGTCACGTGTAGAGTCAGAGGTCAAGGAACAGCGCAGGAAGCGTGCAGGTATACGGATATCTTTGCACTTAGGTCTAGTTTTTGCATTGTATCTTGTAATATATTCTTGCACATGCATTTATTTTTATTTTTTAAGTCTCTGTGCGCATGTCATAAAGCACTTTATATAAAAACAGTCTTGATACAAGATGTCGTATTAGACTGTGCTATGAGTTGTAAATTTAAAGCTGAGGATTTTTTCCATCGCCAGTTGGCACCTGTGGCATGATATCCTCACATTACATCTTGTATAGGACGTCATGTGCTCTGTTTGGAGCTGACCATTCTTTTCAAATTTTAGTAGTTTTGAAATATCTAGAGTGTCTCTTTTTTGTGCTACAATTCCCTCCAATCAAATGTCTACATCATTTTGGGGGTCCTCCCTTTTGTAGTTGTTGCTGTCCACCGTTTCCCTGAGTTTTTTCTACAGTCACATAAACCTGGTGCACTACGTCTCATTATAACCCCAAAAGTTTGCCTCCAACTTCTAAATGGTGGAAACAAAAGCTTAGCCATTACTAAAAGACTTGGTTCGGGACTAGTTCCGAAAAGCAAGCAAAAATTAGGTCTAAATAAAACGGAAATGTGGTCACTAGTATCTGACGCTCCCAGCTTCTGATGGGGAGCAGGGTTATTACCGTCAGACGTTCCCTGAATCCGATGGGGTTTAAAGAGTTGATGCTGAAGCTCTTAGGCTCATGTCCTTCATCTAATTGTCACTCTGAGGTCCTGTAAAAAGTCACAACCTTAAATTGTGTTGAAACCCACTATAACGCTTAAACCTACTCTTACTACATACATTATGATACGTATTGTATTTTATAATGAGCAGCTGAAGAGGACCGGGCCCACAGCATGGAGAGAGAGCTGCACGAGATGAAGAATCACCTGGCTCGCTCGGTGGGCGCTGTCTCGGAGCTGGAGGAGTTACGACGCCGTCTGGAGAAGAGTGAACGACAAAGAGCGCAGCTCTCCGACCATATTGAGGTGAGTCTTGCTGTCAGCTGTGTTGTTTAAGGTGAAAGCCAGATACAGGCGTAGGTAGAATGAGAGATAATTAAAGAGCAAGGAAACGGGTTTTTATTTGGTTTTTGTGATGTATTGAATCAGATAAATCTTTTCATTGTATTCCCAACTTATTCACGAAGGAGCCTATTAATATAATACACAATCTTTTAGACATCATGTTCATATAAAAGTAAAATTTGGGTGCTCTTTGTCAGTGTTGCCTGTATCAATGTTTTCTCTGATTCTCAACATATAGTCTTCCATTAAAATTGCTTGCCTTTAAAGTTGTGTTCATGTATGTGTTCCACCTGCAGAGGGTAACAGCTTCTTCTACTGTGAAGTGTGTCTTTATATTTCAACACAAAACCTGCAGGAAGGGAGCAGAGAAGTAAGTCCCTCCATTCCGTCTCTTTTTCTTCAGCAGTGCTTTTCATCTTGTGTTTGAATTACTGTTGCTTGAATATATGAATTAATTAATTTTTCTTCATTTTTGGTCAGACACTGGCAAAAGATCTTGATAACAGAGATCGACAGAGCGCTAAAGTGATCACCCAGCTGAAGGAAATCTCCGATAAATTTGAAGATTCTGACCGTCAGCGCAAGCTGCTGTCTGTCCAGTTGGATGACGTCCAGCAGAAGTTGCAGGGAGTGACACGTGAGCTCGAGAAAACAACACACGAACTTCGTAACACACAGCTGGCCTTGCAAGACAGTGAGAAGAAGAAAGATGATTTCAAATGTCGAGCCCAGGAGACTGTGCGACAGTGAGTTATACACATCATTTTTATCGTAAAATTGTTGACAGACCTCCAACTACAATGTAGAAATTTTGTCTGGTAACCATTAGGCCAAGTGTAGCAGCACTATTTCTGCTCTAAATGTTCTCTCTCTCCGCATGTTTCCTCTATGAGAGTACCAAATGAGTATTGAAACAAAATGCAGAATTAAAATGGAAAATGTGATACATATTTTAATCCTGAATTCTTATATGTCAAATTTTAAGTGTAGACTGAGATACTAATATGTAGGACATTTTCTGCCAATCTTATTAGCCGGGTATGACATTAATTCGAAAGATCGTTATATCAGTCTAGAGGAGATGATACCAAAAAATTGATTACTAATAAGCAAAAATGTAGCATTTACTAGGATCTAATTGGAGAACAAATGGGACATGCATGACATTGTGATGTGTTTATATTCAATCCAGATGGAAAGCTAAAGTGAAGTCATTGGAGCGTGATCTTGACCGCCAGAAGCACGGCACCGGTCAAATGATGGCTCGCAATGAACAGCTGGTGAAGGAGATGGAAGGTCAGAAGCAACACGGGAACTACAGCCAGATGCAGATTGAGACTCTCAAGAGAGAACTTGCCGATGCCCTGGTTAGTCAATATTATTGGAAATAGAGTTGAACCTGCTTTAATGACTACCAGTTCAAGACAACCACTATTTAAATGATCTCTCCCCACTTCTCCCTTGTGTTCATGTATGTGTTCCACCTGCAGAGGGTAACAGCTTCTTCTACTGTGAAGTGTGTCTTTATATTTCAACACAAAACCTGCAGGAAGGGAGCTTAATGACATTATCTATGAGGACCACCTGTCTAAGATGACCACTTTTCCCCTTGACTATGGATGGTCGACTGTATTTTGTTACTAACAGGGAGTGTACTTCATCAACATTATGGAATACACTTGTTTGCCATTATAGAATGTACTTTGCTAACAGTATGATGTATTCTTTCAAGACATTAAAGAATTTACTTTGCTGATAGTTCAAGTTTACTTTGTTGATATTACAGAGTTGAATATTGTTTCTACTTTCATTGAATATTTTTTTGTTAATATCAGACATTGCTTAGTAAGTGGTTTATGGGCCTACAATCAACACGATCCCTTGCCATATTATTGGGGACGAAATCTTTTGACTTTGAGCCAACAGCTCAGTTATTTATTTCATTATATTTGCTACCTCTTTTGATACTAAAATAAGCTGCCAGTAAAATAAATGAAGAGTGTTATATTTCTAGTTTAATCGTTCTATAACTTTCTTCATGTACTTTTTTACATTTTTAAAAAGAAAAATTACTTGTCTTTTCGAAATTTCAGGCTACCATTTCATACTGATTGTGAGCAAATACAAACAGTTGATATCTTATTGAAGTTTTGGGTGGGCTATAATGTTTCAAGTGTCTGAATGTTGTTTGAAGAATTTACATTATTGTCCAGCCTCTCTGCTCAAACCTAAAAGTGCTTGAAGTCTAGTTAAAGGTTCCCCCTTTGAAGCAGTAACCACCCATACCACACTTTCAACATTATGTGCCACAGGCTGTTCGAGCTGCCCAGGATGAACAAATTCGACTGAAGGACATCGAAGTAAATGAGCTAAAGTCTGTCAGGATGGACCTGGACAAGGACTACCGGGACACTCGCACAATAGCTGAAAAGGTTACTAACGTTTTCTGTACATTTAATTTTCTTTTAATCAGCTTATTTACCTCATTGGTACTTTTCATTGACTTAAGCTCTCAATGAGTTTGAGGATTGTTACTGATTTCTACTGAGAAATTTGTAGAAGGAATTGCATTTTGCATATTTTGGTGGGTGCTAATATATATATTTTTTAACTCATTTGTCTAAATTTTGAATGTTTCTGTTTTGAAAATCTGCATCCTTGAACTTCTCAGGGCCAGCAGAACTTAAAACTGTAAGCTCAGTTTGATTAAGCAATGGAAATGAAACTACATGAGATAAGGCGAGAGTGAGCAAAAAAACCCATGTGTTTGCTATCAGTGGGGTTTATTGTAATAAGATTTTTGAAAGTGTCTTTATTTTTCAAGAGCCCCTGTATGTGTTATAATTTGATTTCACTTTTCAATTTTATTAGAAATTGTATAAACTTCTTATGAAGTAGGCTAATTCTGTGATATGTACTACATTATAGATGGAGGCAGAGATTCACTCGCTGAGGTCGAGGCTTGCGTCTGTGTCAGAGGACAAGCATCGTGTTGAGAACAAACTGTCGGCCATCGAAGCTGCTCACCTTCTGGCACAAAACCAATCACGATCATTGCAGGTACTGTGTTGGGTGTTTTATGTGCTTGTTTTAAAAAAAATTTATTTTTGTCAGTCCTGTTTGTTGTGGTTGGTCGTACGGTGCCATTGGTAGGTCCTATTTTTTTGCTTTCTGTTGTTTCTTTTGATATTGCTGTTCCCAACTCATAGTGACTGTTTGTCTGGATAGTTGGAGGCCGCCACTAGTAGGTCCTACTTCTTTTCTGTTACTGTGTTGTTTTTGTTTGAGTGTTGTATTTTTTTCTCGTGCACTAAATGAACGTTATTGTGTCAGTATGCTTCTCCTTACTATATCTGTTGTTGTGTCGATGAGCTGCTCTTTATTCAAAGTTGAATTCTGATTTTGTTGTTTTCCAAATATACTTGATTACTTTTATGAAAAGAAGAGAAACAGTGACGTCTGGGATGTAGCAGTTATACACTTTGCTGTTGCATGCAAGAGACCAGAGTTCGATTCTCGAGTGGGGAGAAAATTTTTATTGAGTTTCTCTATCTTTCTGCTTGGATGTTGAATCCCTCTCAGCTTGTGTTGGCTCTAATAGACAGGGTCGGAAGCCTGCCTCCTAAATTGTTTTGATGGGGGCATAAAAAACACCTACATTTTATAACAGTAAAGAAGAGAAACCTTACTGGACTGACTTTACCTTAGGTTCATAATTAGCAATCTTAATGAATTGTGTCTGGCCTTATATTGTTTTGAGATGTTTGTCAGGCTTGGTACCCCATCCTACGGGTGATAGATATTGATTCCGAGTTCTTGTCTCTTTGATTGTCTGAATTATATTCAACTTTGTTTATTTGGATGTGGCTGAATAGTCAAGTAGTGTGGCTGTGTAAGCCTGTTTCTTGCACTGGACAGTTAGTTTGGCAGTCATCACGGGACAAGTATTGGTTGAAAAAGTTCCAATCTACTGACCGTTTGAATTTTCGGTGTATAATTGTTTGCTTAATGCTTCTGTCCATGCAGGATGAGTTGAAAGAGCTGAGCACTGTGAAAGCTGGCGTTGCAACTCAACTTGCCGAAACTTCTGCCAAAAATCATGTAAGTATACAGAATGTTAATTATTATTTCAATGAAAGAGAATTTTTTGTTGGAATCATTCTTTAAAAAAAAAAGATTATTTTTGTTCTTAAATTCAAAATTTATTTTAGGATTGCATGTAGAGATAAGTGGATGAGAAGGAAATGTTGTTCATGGAACATTTTTGCAAATCAGTGTTCTTTCTAAAATTTTCTTTAACTCTTTTGTTCCTTCAATCTCTCTGTAATGTTCTATTGCAACAGGACCTGAACCAGGCTGTAGTGGAGTTGCAACACAAAGAGCGTGCGGCGCGGGAGGAGGTGGATCTGTACAAAAAGCAGCTGTGCCAGGAGAGGAATGGCCTGAGCAAAGACTACGAGACTCTGAAACGGGAGCTCAATGAGGCAAAGGTGAGAACAGAACACAGTTGTTGTATTTGGATGTAATACAGTAAAAAATGATAGATAAGTACCAGAATTTTAAAAAGAAAATACGGAACAAAATTTAATGCTGGACTAAGTTATTATTTAGTATTGTTCTCTGAACAAAAGTGTGGAATGGGTTTATAAGATTACATCTTTCTTTTCTCATTGAAACGAGAATGTGGATGGATATGAAACAATTCTATCATTCCCCACCCCTCCTACTTCCTCCATAACCAATTGTCATCACACATCGCATTAAGTAATGTGACAATTTAATCAAGTTTGATGCACTAATTTTTCTCAGGTACGTGAAGCTCACACTATGCAGGAAGTGAACAGAAAGTTCCGGGCCCACAGCGCAGAGAATGACGCCACCATACAAGCTTTGAAGGTCAGTTGGCTGTTTTGACTAGGTTTTGTGGGTTAAAAAAAAATAATTGTTTTTGTTACCATAATTGTTAGCAGCTGTTTGTGTTTCCATGTCATGTCAAGAACCTGCACTCTGTCAAGGGATTCTATTTTCCCTTGTTTATTGTCTGTTTTGGTAGTAACCAATGAAAGAAAAAAAGAAGATGACTTTGTTGTTTGTGGATATCTCTATCAATAATTATCTGGATATTCTATATTCATTTTCAGTATATGGGTCAAGTGAGTGGTGGATTGTTTACTTTATGTTTCATAACTTAAAATCTGTTTCATAGGTTCGGCTTTTCACATGGGCTACAATTGGGTTGAGAGACATATAGAGTAATAAACTATGCAATGCTTTCAGTTAACAATTGTCTACGTGAATGATAGCTGCATACGCACTTCATGTACTTAAATAAAATTTTAACTGTTTTATTAAAACATTGTTTTTCAGTTGGAACTTTCTGAAGAGAAATCAAATTCAAAGATACTTGGACGTAATGCAGACAGGCTGAAGGAAGAAATGGACATTTTAGAAAAACGATTCAGAATGTGAGTTTTATAATTTGATCTGTTTGCTGCTTCTCTATTTTTAGTGATAAATTGAGCTTACAGATAAGAGAAGTAGGTAATTACTTCTTGGTGAAATTGTGTAATAATTGAATGAGTTTTTTAACATTGTTTTTGAAGTACTTGATAGAGAAGTATTTAGTATAGCTGTATCACTATTTATGGATTTCATATGGTTGTTTGCTTATTTTAGGGTATAGTTAATATTTCTGCTAACTATTGATGTTTTCTCAGAAAATGATAAAGACCAATTAAGAATTAACGTCCATTGCAATGACTGCTGTGATGTATAGTTTGTCACTTTGCTCTTTTATTCCATTGCTTTTGTTAAGATGGCAATAAGAGTGTCGAAGAATAATTGTATATGACTGTGCACAATTATAAGTGAACTGTCTGCATTCACACTAGAGCATCCTCTGACTTCCACCCCTACATCTTTTATCAGATGGTTCACTATGGGAGGGAGTAATGGATTTTATTAACTTCAAAGTTACGTATGTGACTTTAAATTTTACTATCTCTTCAGGAGTGAAGAAGAAAATACAAGCATGAGGCGTAAGATTGAACTGGTGCGACACGAATTTGAAACCCAGGTTTGTTTTATTGTTTGATTCTTACTGAGTTGGTTTTGTAGCTCTCTGATTTAACTGTGTTACTCTAGCAAGGTGTTTATTAACATTTAGGTCTGTGTTTAATAGCATTACTACTTATCTTTTTTGGTTAAAAATTTTTTTTGGGAATGGAAATATACATTGGCCTTTTGTGCCTTGAAATTATGTATGCATGCTTATGGATGTATGTTGTCTGTGGTCTTGAATGAATATGTGACCCTTTAATTGTGGTTGGAGTTTGTCAGCTTTTGAATGTTTTGCTGTTTTTCATTTTTGACTGGTCAGTCAATTACTTTGTCAAGGACTAACAATAGTAGTGATGTGTGTAGAATTTAATGTGTGGGAACACTTGACTTTCATATTTCTTTTTCATATTTATTTTATTCTCATTGCAATGCTAAAAAAATAAATAAACTTCAGCATATGCTGAGATATAATATGTAACTTTTCATTCTGGTAGGACATTGTGAGTTTTCTTATCTTCCCCTGCCTGTCCTTTGCTAGATCAGTAACAACAATGCCTCCTTCTCTTTATCACGATCTCTGTCTCTTTACCGACGCCTTCTTGAAAGTTGGAATAGGAATATTTCCAGTCATCTTTTCTATTTTCCATTCTGTTGAGTCTCTTAATGTCAGAATGGAACATGTATGGTGGTGTTTCCTTTTGCTTTATTAAATATTTTAAAAAGGATAGTTAAACTTTTGCTGTGAAACAAGCTGGAAAGTGAAATAACTGATTTAGGTGCAACGTTAGCAGAAAAGAGGGGGAATTTTCCTTTAACCCTGATTTGTAGAATAGATGTGTGCCTTCTTTGGTCTCTCTGCACTTTGGTTTTTACTGTAGCATAGTTTTGTTTTTCTGATTTCTTTTTGTTTTGTCTTTTATTTTGTTGTCTAAGATGAAACACATTTGTATTAAATGACACTGTTCCCTTCCTTGGTGACATTTACTGATAGCGTAAAATACTCAAGCTATAATTTTAGTGTAATAAAAAAGAAGAAAATCTTTGCTTTGAAAAAGGAAATTTCTCTTTTAATTTAGCTCCTTTCTAAATAACTATTTCTATTGCCTCCTTGTCACATATTTGTTGACTGATTTATCTGTTTCTGTTGGAAGAGCAGCTTTTGTTTTGTACAATGCCTGTTTTTTATCCACTCCTGTATGCTTTCTTTAAAGATTCCCTTAGTCTTGATCACCATTTTTATATTGAAATAAAACTTTGACTTTTCTAATTTTTCATATTTCAGAGGCCAATATCAGCAGCTTCAGTAGCATTTTTATCTGTAAATATCTTCATCCTACCTTTACTTTTGTGTTCCATTTAGAGCTGGATTTGTTATGTATTATAAGGTCAATAAGAGAAAAGTTCCTTTTACTTTTCTACAGGGTTTGTTAAATTTATACAGATGAACAATAAAATGAATTAGATAGAAAAAGTCAAAGGACTGTAAGTGGAGGATGATAATTGAATTTTTGAACGAGCAGAATTGCTTTTAAAATTGAACTCTAAGTTGAAGTGGCTCTGCTTACAATACAAGAAGAAAAGTTTCATATAAATATATAGCCTACATGAAAACTAAACAATGCTTAGCAACCTTACTGAAAGAAACAAAGTATTCAAGAGGATCAATCATAGATCATGTAAGTCAGCTAGGAAATACAGGACAAGGACTTTGATAGCAGAATATTGGCTCTGGATTGTTGATTGGGGTGAGGAAGGAAGAGATGTGAAGAGATCAGTACCCCTCATTACAAATTTGCTTGTCTTTTGTGCAGCGCTTTATTGCAGTAAATTTACATGGTGTTAGCGCTGATGTAAGAATATGTTCAGTTGGGGGAAGCTATTTAGCATGTCCTGCTTTATACACATTTTACTTAGAGGATGAAATTTTTAGTTGCATGTGGGTTGTGCAGTCTTGCTTTTTATTTAAACTGCTTTAGACTTACAATGGTTACAGTGCTGTGCTTTGTGACTTAATGAGCTTCATTAGCCCGTTATTTTTCTGCTTTATCGACACAGTTATTTTTTAAAGAAAAAAACAACCCATTAATGTGAAATAACAATGAAATGAGTTTAATTGTTGAACTTAATTGTTGAACCCATTGCTAAGTTTGAAAGTGTCTTTGAATTTTTCTCCCTTGTAATTCCTTACATTTTGCTTCCTTTTACAAAAAAAGTGTAGAATTTTTCAATTAACCATTCTTCTACGTCCATTAAAAAAGTCTATTTAAACTTTGGGGTTTTATTTTCAAATTTAAATGGACCTGTAAAATGCTAAAATTTTCAGTCTTTCCTCTGCACAGTTAGCATGAAAGTGACAGAGAGAGAGAGAGAGAGAGAAAGAGAGAGAGAGAGAGAGAGAGATCTGTAGCATCAGCAGTAGCTTAGAAATTGTTTCTTTTTGTACTGTTGTTTCGGTAAATTTGTACCTCAGGTCATTCATAGACACTGCGCAAAACGTCTCATTGTCTGCTATATTTCTCGCAGCTAAAAGAAATGTGTATTTCCTATGGATATCTATACAATTATTTACAATGAAATCTGATAGGAAAACAAAGATTTTGAAATTTTGGCCATTGTCAGTGTTCGTTTGTGTGCTATTATCTCATTTTTTGAGTGATTTCAGATGGCGTAACAGGGCTAATTTTGTGAAAACTGATGCATTAACTTTTGTGAGAATTCCGCCCTCCCCTCCCATCCCATCTCCCCCCCACCAACTTAATTCAATGTACTTTTAACCCCTCAAATTGTGACTTTTATGACCTAATATTTAAATATGAAAACCCTTTAAGTGAACCTCAAGTGCTACTTAAAAAGCTTCCACTATGTAAAAATGATGGTCCGTGCCACAAACAAGTATGTTAGTAGTAGCCATTTAGAGAATAGACATAGTTATGTATTGCTCAAGTCTCCCTCCCTCCCTCCCTCTCTCTCTCTTTCTCTTTCTCTCTCTTTCTCTCTCTTTCTCCTTCTCTTTCTTTCTCTTTCTCTCTCTTTCTCCGTCTCTCTCTCTTTTTCTCCCTCTCTCTCCCTCTCTCTCCCTCTCCATCTCCCTCTCTTTTAAAACACCAAACCGATGTGCCAGAATCTGGACAATAAAGATGTATCTTGTCTTATCTTTCTCTGCTGCTGAATGCAAATGGAGCTTCTCTGTTCAGAGTAGGCTTCTTTGTTCTTCATAGTTAACTGTTCAGCTTTGTCAGCTTTCTGACCCCTCACTGCTTCTGTAATCTCACTCTCACTCTCACTCACTGAAAGTGCCAGTTTCAGTTGCATGAATTTTTTCTGTCAGCTTTGCACTTGTTTAATTAAGAAATCACTTGTTTGCTAGAGTCAGTTTGAAATAGTATTCCTTTCAGGAATGGTAATTTATTTTCCTTTTTCCCCTCTTAAACTTTTTGCTCGTCATAATGATGATGATCTGGAGCACAATTCTCGTTTGCAATTGAAGTACATCTCTGTAGAGGTACAAAGGCTTTCTCCCGCGCTGTACAAACAGACATGTTCATTTAACTTGAGCCTCCAAAAGATTAATAAATGTGTGTGACATACCTTTCAAAATGTCTCATACAGCAAAATGAAAAATGTAGATTACCATATATTCAGTCTGATGAGTTGGCACAATATTTTCATGCTATATAATGTCCTTTGTGTCTATGCATTATACATATTTCCTTCACTCACAGATCTATTTAATATGTTTTAATTATTTTTTTACATCTGTTGATCTATAAAACATATATTGAACTGTATCCTATTTACGTCTACATGTGTTGTATCTAATCTAGTCTCATAAAATATATAATCTTTTACAAATCTCTTTTCAGAGTCAGCTGGCTGAGGATGACTTAAACAGGTTGGTACATAATAATTGTCATCATTACCTTTCTCAACCTGCAACAGGGTTTAAGCCTCGAACAAACATTTTCCACCTTTCTCTATCCTAGGCTAGCCTCTTGATGTTATTTCATGTCTTTCCACTTTTCTGTACGTACATCAATCACTGTGATTCTTCTCCAGGTTCCACGTGATTTTCCCCTTGATCTTTTCCCCTGTGGATTACAATCCAACACTTTCTTTGTTATACAGCTGCCTGATTTCATGAGAGTAGTATGTCCAATCCAACTCAGATTTAGTACATAATGGTTGAGCTTTATTTTCCTTGTATTTTTTTAAAGGATTATTTTTCTACAGCTGTACACATTCTCACATGCTATCACATGTAAATTAGGTACGGTTTTGGAGGGAGTG